ACATCTGAGATGAGTAAGGTGAGAGTGACGCTGCTGGAGAGGGAGGGCACACCCTCATCAGAGCACGTCACTGTGATATTATACTGAGACGACCTCTCTCTGTCTAAATCATTATCTGTCACTAAGCTATAAAAATTATTTTCAGAGGTTTTGAGAGTAAATGGAATATTTTCATTAATAAAGCATTTCACCATTCCATTGTCTCCCGAATCCAAATCCTCTATGCTAATAACAGTAACAACAGTATTGATTTCGGCCCCTTCTGATATCACATTTGATTTGGACATAATGTTTATTTCGGGTCTGTTGTCATTTTCATCTAGTACGTCGATCATCAACTTAGAAGAATCTGTGAGCCCTCCATCATCACTCGCAAGTAAATGAATTTGAAAATGTCTTGATTTCTCATAATCTATATTTCCAATTAATGAAACCTGGCCGTTTTCTTTATTAATGTCAAATATATTTCTAACGTTATCTTGGGTGTTTGTTATTGAATAGGATATTTTAGAGTTTAAATCTCCATCGGCATCAGAGGCAGAAACAGTTGCCACAAGTGTCCCTGGAGGTGAATTCTCAGTCACAATAGCCTTGTATGTCTGCTGTGTAAAAACGGGGGCATTGTCGTTCGCGTCTAACACTGTAACGTGAATCAACATCGTTCCCGACATGCGCGGCTCTCCTCCATCTACAGCCGTTAACACGAGAGACAAATGCTCCGCTTTCTCTCTGTCTAATGGCTTCTGTAAAATCATCTCCACATTTATATTTCCATCCGCGTTATTTTGCTGTTTTAGAGCAAAATGGTCTGCTGGTTTTAATTCATAATTATGAACGCCGTTAATTCCGACATCTAGATCCGCCGCCCTTTGGAGAACAAATTTTGCTCCCACGGTCGTCGACTCACTTATTTTAAATTTCATTTCATTTTTTTCAAAACTCGGCGCATTGTCATTTATGTCGGTAATCTGCACAGCAACACTGTAAAATTCGATCGGACTTTCCAAAATGATACGGAAATGCAGCGCACAAAGCGCGGTGTGTGCGCAAAGAGCCTCTCTGTCGATCCTCTCTTTCACGAGGAGGACTCCTTTCTCTCGGCTCAGTTCGATGCATTCTTCATTATTTCTGGAATAGATCTTTGCTTTGCCGGAAATCAGACGTTGTATTTCTAAACCCAAATCTTGCGCTATGTTCCCCACTAAAGATCCTCTGCTCATCTCCTCTGGAATGGAATAGCTGACCTGGCCGTACACTGCGTCGAGGGCGAACAGAGACACAAACAGCAGTACTTGCCCATTCATTGTTCTTTCCATTTCTCCTCAGCGGAGTTCCTCTCTTTATACTCCACTAAAAAGAGCCTCTTCACAGTCTAACGTCGAATATAATCCACTCGTAATCCAAGCAAATGATGTTCAGGTCCAAAAGTCTGGATTTTTAATTTGACACGCACGTAAAATTATCCGTTCTCCTCTCGTCGCGTTCTCCCTTGTTTTGTGGAGGTTGCAGGGAGGCGCAGCACCCAGGCTGCTCCTACTCATCAACTTTTTGGTCGACAGCGTCCCTAAGAGTCCATGTTGCAACACTGCAGGACGAAACAATTTCCCAAGCGCACGCCATACAAAAAAAATCATAATAAATAATCTAATCATCATACACATGAAACCTACTGACTAAAATGCTGTACACAAACATTATTGACATTTTGCAATCACTCTATACGTTTCAAAATGCAAAAGATGTCATTAGCCAACATGTAGTACCCATTTAACATCGATATTGTTTTATTTTATTTTCCCCAATGCAACCACCTCGTGTATCTCTAAACATAACTTGACACGCTTTAAAAGCATGAATAAATCTTTAAATATTATTTTTCATTAACTGGGCATAATAACGTTTTTTTCGGACATGACACACGAACAGAGGTAAATTCATACTGATTGTACTGTCCATGCTCCTTTAAAACGGTTTACAAAGAAACCTAATCAATGTATTGTCACTGTGTGATGGATTCACTGGCAGTCATTTAAGGAACACTATTTCACTAGTGTGGATATAAGTTTGAAATGCCAAAGGTAAAAGTAAATGCACATCATTGGCTCCACAATCAGTCTTCCCTCGATAGAACTATGACGACAAGACCGTTCGCCACTGTTGCCTGTGTGGCGGGATCGCTAAAGCGATGTTGACAAAATGAAGCAGTTGAGCAAGGTAAGTCCTCAAAAACAACAACGTAACAATCCTCTTAAATCATTTCAAAAAGTAGCAACCAAATGATGGTGTGGAAAGCATAATAATGGTCGAGGACTTTGCACAGGCTGCGTATCATTAGCAGTTTAGCCGCTAATAAGCCGTGCATCTTCCGGACCAAAACAGCAATCAGACGAGTCATCTTTTGCTCGTGATTCAAACAATGCAAATGATTGCCGGTCCGCGAAAAACATGTACTTCTTTGAATCGGTCCATTGCGCAAAAAAAAAAAAAAAAATAGTAACACTACTGTACACGACTATGTATGCAGAAATTATTTAATATTTTGCAAATTTTATAAAATGTCAGATTTCAAAGTTGAACTGGTTGAAAATGGTAACAAGACTTGTATAAACCTTTAAGGGAAATATGTCAAAGAAAGAACTGAAATATGTTTAAGTTTAGTAGCGAAAATAAATGAAAGACCACCAAGGCCAAAGGACTATTCATGCAGTTTTTGGGATTAGCGAGACCACTATAAATAGATTAAGACATACACACACAAAAAAAAAAAACAAAACACAATTCCGTCGCCCCAACCATTACATTCAGCTTGTGCTCATTAGGTTTGCAGGCAATTGGAGCCTATCCCAATTGACTTTGGACAAGAGGCGGCTTAAACCTGGGACTGTTTGCCGTTCAATCACAGGTAACTTTGAAACAAACAACCATTCACACTCACGTTTATATGTACGGGTATAGATATTAACCTTGAGGGAACCGAAGAAGCATGTTTTTGTATTGCGGGAGAAAAGCGTGCAAGCCCGCGTAGAACAAGCAAAGCCCATGTAAAATGCTTGAGGTAAATAAGATCACATGTACAGGAGATGCTATTCAGTGCTCTAACCTTTGCAGTGTTTAGCATATTTGATTCCATCCATGCATCCATGCATTTTCAACACCACTTTTATTGTACTGACTATTTATCACTGACACTTCACAAAAACTGCACATTGTTTTCACTTCGTTGGTAATCAAATCCTGCCATTCTGATAGTGATTGATGGATAACAACTTGATGAGGGTCTGGATGAAAACACGTTACCAAAGATCCAGCATTTTGAATGCAGCAATTTTGACAATAGTTCAAGTATATTCAATAAGTGATTGTGTTAAAGGCAATTTGAATATGAACTTGACAGTCCAAAAGTAAGATGGTTCCAGTCTATTGAAATGGAAAATAATGATAACAAGTATTCAACAGTGAACAAAGGAATGAGTCAAAATGGTGAGCTCTCCGTGGTGCTGAATCTCTACTTCACCACAACTGCGGGTACTCTCAGTGAGTAATTGAAATCAAGGAGAATTGAGAGATTACTTCTCATATTTTAACATTTGTACTTGATGGAAGTCAAACGACGATTGTACACCTTAGAAATACGACATTGCTTGCAACAAATAGGCCATTAACCCAAACGAGAACAAGCACGCCACATGAAAAAGATGTAAACTAACCTCGACAGGAGAGTCAGGTTGATCCAGGATGTTCTTTTCATTGTGTATTTTATGCATGGTTGCTGTGAAACTGGGGTCCATCATCATCACGTTGTGGCTTGCAACTTTGTCCAATTTACAGTCACTCTTTCGGGAATCAGTGGTCCTGCACACCTCGTAATTGTACACGTGCGGGAGAGTCCCTGTTCCCAAAGTATCTGAGTATCGAGGTGGACAATACGGAATGACAGGCAGGTTGGAGTGGTACAGGACGCGAGACTGTCTCCACCAGTACACTTTGACCGATATGATAAGCAGCAAGCAGGTGATGAAGAGAAAGGATACCACTGCCAGAGCCAAGACTAAGTAAAAAGTCAGCTGGTCATTGTACTCCTTGTCGTGCATGCTCAAGTCAGTGAACTCTGACAGCACTTGAGGGAAGCTGTCGGCCACCGCCACATTCACAATGACTGTCGCTGAACGAGAGGGCCGCCCGTTGTCCTCCACGACAACAGTCAGTCTTTGTTTGACAGCATCTTTGTCAGTCACTTGGCGGACAGTTCGGATTTCTCCGTTGTGGAGGCCCACTTCAAACAGCGCCCTGTCGGTGGCTTTGTGCACTTTGTAGGAGAGCCAGGCATTCTGGCCAGAGTCCACATCTACGGCCACCACTTTAGTCACCAGATAGACCACATCTGCCG